AATGGTAAATCAGAAAAAATGTTTTCTTTGGGTACAATTTTACCTTAAATGCATCTCTCTGTCATGAATAGATTAAAAAATGTATGTTTATGGCCAAAATCTGATTTCAAATGCATTTGTAACCATTTCTTGTATTAACTTTTTGTGAGGTAACTTTTAAAAGCATTAAATTCTTTGGACCTGTGGTTCCTACGTGAACAATTCTGACCCTGTAAGTTTCTCCTGAATAGAACCTTTCACATTAAACCATCTTAAATGACTCTGTTTACAATATTAAAATGTTAACTGCACTATGCAGAAGTTTTGAAATAGCAGAAAAATTCCCTGTATATTTTCAAAATAAGTTCAAGTACTTTTGAAGCATTTCTATTGATCCATTCTTCATAAAATGTTTACATAATCAAATTTATATATATATACATATTTTTTTACATATATATGTGTATATATACATATATATATATATATATATATATATATATATATATATATATATATATATATATAAAGCTACAGCAACAGTCTAATTACTACAAATGACCATAACATTCTTGACAATAGTAATTGCGTGCTCAAAGCTCACTGACATATAAGTTGTAATCTAATACTCTACAATGACTTTGATAGCCTGTTTTATCTTATCTGCGGTCGGAATGGAGTACAAGCAGATTAGATTAAGGTTGGGCAGGGTCATTAGTGATGGTGAGCAATTTCTGGAATATGAGCCCCATCTCAAAGTTAATGGCAGACATTAATTCCGGGAAGGTATGAGGACCTGGAGGGAATTAACTATCTCATCCTGTTACTACACTCTCTGTGTGTGAATGTGTGCAAGTGCCTGTCTGTGCCTGCATATAAAAGAAAGAAGCAAGAAAGTGTGTCAGTCCTGTGTGACACACTGAAAGAAGTCACTCACACATTCAAAAGCATGAATAATAAAGAGATGAGCTGCTCTGTTTGAAAGGACACTCTGCACTTCTACATTGTCCCCTGCTTCGCCCGAAAGCCCAGGCCGTTTTAGATTCTATTTCTGAACATTTAAAGTGGAGAAATAAAACTTGTCAAGTTTAATCTCCATCATTTTGCCCTAAATATACTGTTTGGGAAGTGACAGAAATCTCTCTCACCCACTCTGTCGGCTAGCATTTATTGAAGAAGAAATCTGTCTCCCTCTCTTGTGAACGTTACGACAGATTAAAAAAAGAGGCAGGAAGGGGGTGGTGATTTTTTAGAGATTCAGCCGTGTGTGAACTGTCTGCATTAGCTGCAGCGTGACGACTATAACACACAAATCAATTAGCTAAATTGACACAATGTGTGGCCAAGAGGGGACCATATTATGGATGAGCCAATAAGACTCTTTCTCTGGAGAAGAAGCGTAACAGGATTGTTGCTACTCCTCTCAAGAAGCTCAATCATATTTGTGAATGAAACATATACTCACAATATATAAATGAATCATAAAACAAATAGTCAGCCTAATGTGTTAGATCAGAGGTTCTTAACCTTCTGAGCTGTGTGATCCATGTTGATCTATTTATTCTTAGTGGTTACCCTGCATTGATGCTGTATATACTACTTGCTGACAAATGCCACACATGAGACACTAAACACTAAAATACAAAAAATAATAATCTTCTCATAGCAACTCTCATCTTGTCTCAAACCCAGAGGTAAAAACCAGCAAGCTAAGTACATGTTAAAAGAATGGTTTTGGTGAAAATTTAAAATGACATAACTTTCTACTAACCCTATAAGTAGTCAACCAGCAAAGACATGTCTGGAGCCCAAATTTTGCTTCCTTAGCTTACAAGTGTAGCTGTGAACCTAATAGTGCTAACAAACACTAGAACACAATAGTCACTCAGTCCAAAAACATCACCAGAACTCTTAACACACTCAAACCCCATCCAGATCTTGGTTGCGCAGTCTTGTTGATATGTTTTAGGATACAGTATGACTTACAGCGAACTATAAAAAAGCTATAAAATAACACTATGATGGGCTATTTCAGACAACACCAATTGGTATTCACAAAGCAGTCAGAAATCAGGGGAATCAGATTCCTTCATACTTACGATGTTCGCAGTCACAAAAACTGATCGTGATTCAACTGATTCAAGCACTACAACTCCTGAAGTGAATTCAGACCTATTTGTGTATAACGGTGGCCTGCAGCGTTCTGCTAAACAGTGAAGGCTTGTTCATATTTACAGTATGTCATAAATTAGTCATAAGTGTCCTAAACCACATCAAAGTGCATCCTTAATTCAGACCTGGAAGTTTAAGTGATATATTTTCATGGAAATAATTTGGGATATTAAGATAAGAGTTCTAGTGTTTGTTAATAACGTTAGCTTCATGGCTCCGGTTCTAAATTAAAGAAACAAAATTTGGACTCCAAACCTGTCTTGGCTGATTTGACTACATCTAGGGTAAGAAGAAAAATGTAAGTTTAATTTAGTGCTGAACTATTACTTTACGTTTCAGATGTCCCTACCAATGTGAGAGCATTGTCATAACCACAAGTCCATGTTTGCTGAGAATAGAGCACTGGACCTGGGGGAGCTTGTTAGAAAATTTCTTACAAAGTCTAGTGTGAGATCACAAGACAGTTTAACACTACATTTTATCGCTTCTGCGGCTGTTTGCCAGCAAATCACTCCTTTCTTTCACACATTAGAGCACACAGGAAGGAAAACTGACCTCTATAGCGTCAAATTTGTTGGGTCATGAAAGAGTGAGGCTGAGGTGTGGCTGGTGCAGCACTTTCTCTTGTGGGAAAAACAACAGTGTTTACAGATTGCAGCATACTGGAAGACCAAGGGTGGCATGCAAAATAACCGCATTTGCAGCAGTGTGGAAAGGTCAGACAGTGGTTGGGTGGGTCTGGACCTTCACTGTGAGAAAGTAGCAGCAAAAGGCAGTCCTACTGCTATGTGGAACAGGGTCAGTTCACTGTTTACACACTTGAATAAAGTGTCAACTAGTTGTGCTAAAAGTTGTTTTTTTCATCTTGGCAGAGTGCTGCAAACCCATTTGGTTTGTGACCCATGAGGAACGATGTGTTATATCAACAGTGGTAGAAAGAACAAGTAGTCCACTAGTGTACTTAAGTGCCATTTTTAAATAGTGCCACTTTTCATCTTACCTTACTGTTTTGGAGACCACTACTATTAAATTTATTCAACTTCTGACTTCAGTATATAGGTACACTTCATTACTTCTGATGGTTCATAAGAGGTCCGTATGTAAAAGAGTGACCTTCAAGAGAAACTACGAATCGTTTTCTGTCATAACTATCAACTGATTTTCTGTCATAAGTAGATTTTTGGTGAACAATTTGCTATTGTTCAGTCACCTTTCAAAACTTTCCAAATTTGTTAAAAATCTTGTTGACTTTGTTAAAATTTGCTGTGAAACTCAACATATTGTGTATTCATGACAACCTCTTGGGTGACAGCCTCTATGTCAAGTGTAACAACTAAACCCAGTTTAGTTTCAAATATTACACAGGGTGCAAATAACATAATAGAAACTCAAATGTACATGTATGAGCGTAAAGAACACAAATGCAAAACATGCATTCTAATACACAGATATTTGTGAAACTGTGAAATTAAAGACTTGAAACCATACTAAACAAATTCTATATAAGAATGCACTTTTGTTTAACAATGAGCTTGGGAGATGAATGAGAATGAAGAGAATGAACTGGCTCCTCCAGGAAGGCTTTAAGTATTTACCAAAAGATTCACTGAATATAGAAATAAAATGTGTCAAGTTTGTCCTAAATATATATAGTTTGGTGGCAGGAATCTCTCTCACATACACTGTGTGCTCGCATTTACTGAAGAAAAAATTCTCTCTTGTGAACGTTCTGACAGATAAAAAGAAGCGGCAGGGAGGGGGTGGTGATTTTTTGAGGGGTTCTATGCTGTGTGAATTGTCTGCTTTAGCTGCAGCGTGACGACTCTAATGCACAAATCAATTAGCTAATTGACACAATGTGTGGCCAACAGGGAACGATAATGTAGATGAGCCAATCATACATTTTCTCTAAACGGAGTAGAAGCGCAGCAGCATCGTACCACTCCGCTCGATAAGCTCCATTATATTTGTGAATGAAACTGAGTCATAAAGCAAATACTAAACCTCGAACAATAGCGGAAGAGATGCAGAGAGATATGGGGGAGTAAGTTGATTTAATAAAGCCATAAAATAGTTCATAAACATTCTATATAAAGTAGACTGTGATTTGCTGTAGTCAAATAGTGTTTGGCCTCCAAGACAGTAAGTGGTTAGGGTCCAGTATGAGTTTAAAAATTCAGAGGTCATTTAATGCACATCTCAACATATTTTGCACTGAAACAAAAGCATGCAGACGATCACACACTTGTTATTACGTAAATATTTTGAGTAAAAGGGAAAATACTGTGCCTTGTTTTTTTATTTTTTATTTTGTGTCACATGTAATTTCACATTCATGCTGTATCATTTACATTTATACAGTAAGCTCTACTTTTGACACCACTGCACATTTTAGTGCAAGCACTTTAATATTTATTTTTAGATGCGGCAGTTTCACTTTAATAAGCTTAAACTTTAATACATCTGAGCAATACATCCAGTTTTTTCTAACTAATTTCAAGGGATTTACTCAAGGATTTGTATCTTCCTTGCACCACTGTCAATCAATGACAAGCTACCATGTTGTTCTTATCATTCATCATTAGAGGTTTAAGAGAAACGAAAGAGGATTTGCAGTAATCTATTGTGCAGCTGGTATTTTTCTGCCATGTGACATAAACCTAATGGTTTTATCATGAAATTTAAGTTGACATAATAAACAGAATTACTTGGAAAAGCATTTTATCACAAGGTAATTTGTGTGTGGGTGTTGTTGTATAACGACAGTTAAGTCACTGCCTTAAAAATTGTCTTGCAGTGGTTGCAGCTGAGTTATGTTTGCAATATAAGTGCACTTCATTAGGACTTACCCAGCCCTCCGGCAACAATCACCCTTCCACCGAGACAGCCAGCAACAAAGTCTGCCCTTTTCTCCCTCATCCGAGAGCTCCTTGTGGGCTTCAGCCAAACACCTACACATAGGTTCAAAAGTGCAAAGGTCAGACCACAAGAGGGACAGAGTCATGTGAGAAGGTAAAGGTTAAAAACACTCAAATTTTCTTAAAATGTGTAAATCTAATTCACAGTTTGTTCAGGGAAGTGTATTTTGTACATGATTCCAAAGAGAACTGGCAAAAATCTGGCAAAGCAAAATGTTTATAGGTCCTTTCACACTCAAAACCCAAGACATTACTGGGATACTTTTACTGGTAATGTTCAGGCTTTGCATCATTCACATATGTAGCCTTTAAACATTTTTTATTCCAGCAGTGCACGCATTATTTCATTCCATTAAATCCCAGTCAAGTTCTTAAAATAGGCTTCTTTATTTCTCTATCATAAAATATACTCCTGCAACTTTTTTCTCTTGTGCAATCCTGAAAACACAAACATTCTGCTTTGCTAGCCCTTATGCCAACTATGCATGCTGGAAGGGCAGCAACTATGCATGCCGCTTCTATCTAGAATCATGTAGAAAATACACTTCTTGGATGTTTTCACTTGCAAAATCAAACTAAAAAACAGAAAAGCGTCACGAAAATGTTCAGCTTTTCGGCCGTAACTTTGATGCTTTTGTTTTTCCTGGTAACACATCAGCTTCTGTTCACACACACGCCCTCCTGTCTTTTCTAGATGTTGTACATATATATTGATATGTATGGATATAGGTCTCACACACACATACACACTCACAGAAGGCAAGACACACCCTGGACAAAGTGTCCAATTGGCCTGACTGCATGTCTTTGGACTGTGGGAGGAAATCAGAGCACCCAGAGGAAACCGTAAAGGGTTGCATGTGAGAATTCTGGAAAGTTTTTCTGATAAAAGTATCCCACTAATGTCCTGGGTTTTAAGCAGGAAAAGAGCTTGTGATGATTTAGCCATGAAGCTTGCACAATACTAACCGGTGGGAAATAAGCTTCCATTCTTTGTGGGCTACATAAGGGCTATAGCTCTAGTTCAAATCTAAGCAATCTTCAGACACCAAATACATCTTGGTTTGATGTGAAAACTGTGTATATTTTTCACCAAACTATTCCTTCAATCTTTATCTGCAGTGGTGCTCAGACGAGAAGAGTGAATGGTCAGAGTGAAATGGTTTGTCTGTGATTTAGCCATCCAGCATGAGTGTGTCACTTCTGCCTGTTTGACTGCATCTGTCAGAGTGTATATGGAGAGCTCTGTGCTGACAGGAGTGTGTGCACTGCAGGATGATCTAATAATGACGGTCATAAAGCAAAATGAGCAGAAGGGGCAGTGGATGCAGAGGAGTCAAAAAGAGTCCAGCCATGTGACCTCAATCTGCTCTCAGCCATAAAGCCCAACTGATGAACACATACTGAAAAAGCCGCAAAATCGCCCTGAGGGCTGCCTGTCTGTCCGTCCGTCTTTGTGAGACCATCAGACGCTTCGGCTGTTGTCTGAGGTTGCTGTCTGCTGTCAGCACTGATACTGTACTGTCACTTTTAACTTATCGGTTCCAACATTCGATTTTAACTGGCCACTAAAGTCCACTAAACCTACTCTCCTGCCCAAAATCAGTTACGTTTGTGAAGTCTTCTCTTCTTCTGGGCAGTCAGGCCTTTCGTGTTCACTCCAAAACACAAGTGTGGATGAGTAATCAAATACTTTAGTTAACTGGTCCTGGTGCCAGTGTTCAAATAGTGAATAACTGTTCAGGTATTCAAAAAACTGCATTGAGGGAGATCAGGGAAAAATAATGGATCATAAAAGGAATGGCACAAGCTCGTCATGAGGTTGTCTCTTGATGTTTAGTAATGTTTTCACTGTACGTTTGATTCATTATTTTAATTATTTCTCTAAGCACATAGCAACAGGATAAGGCAGAGACACTCTTAACTTTTAATGTAGAGTTAATGTAGCAAATTTTATTCTGAGTAATTTTAAATAATTTCAATATCCATTCTGTATGAAATTTACATACAATGTAAAAAAAACAGCTGCTGCCAATGATGCAGTGATGATATGCTGCCGACTGGAGAAAAGTTTAAGGGGAAGTAAGATATTAACTTAATATATTGCCAAGTTCCCAAGTTAATTGAATCAATGATATCAAAATCAGTCAGAATCAGTGTTGGGGTTAACACGGTTACAGTAATGTGATTACTTCATCTTGTAACAAAGTCCAGTTTAAAATCTTGTAATGGTATTACAATAAGAAATTTCATTACTTGCATCACTCATAGGCCTCTGAGAGAACAATACTGGTCAAGCGCAACACGTATTAATCATACATTTTCTTTCTTTCGCACACTCTATCTCTAGTATCAGCATAACAATTTGAATGAAAAGTTACGTTTTTGAAGTTGTAGTTTTTGAAGTTGTAGTTTTTGAATTTCACAATTTCTGAGTATTTGGTAGGTCCCCCTTTTGCTTTAATGACAGCATACAGTTAAGCTGGCATGGACTTCACAGGTTTAGGCCTCTGATAAGTAGACCAAATGCAGCTGAAATTCGTCTGATCACAGGCTTTAATGGAAGAGATAAGACAAAAAAAAACTGACCTTTTTTGTATAAAGGCCTCAACATGGTCAGTGTCGCAAATAGTAACAAAAAAACAGCACAGATATTAATATTAATTAATTATATTAATACTTCCTCTTCATTTTACTTGTTATAACTTTGTTTTTTTTTAACAAAATTCTGTTGTTCTTTGTTCTTTATTTAATGAAAAAATCAGTGTGATTGTCGGTGTCAGTGTGGTCTGTAACTTTTGCACCCAACTGCACCCCATATATATGTGTGTTTGTTCATGTATGTCATTTGTGTGTATGTGTGCTGCCTGCGCAAATTAAACCTGCTGAAATGAAACTGCTAGATAAAGATCCTCGTGCTGAAGAACACTGAGCTCCATCCTCAGCTAAACAGGCCAAACTAAATATTTATTCAGGAACAACTCTGCAAGCATTACATTTTAGTTACAAAGATTTTACCTTGACACAGCTGTTCATGGATCATTTCTACTGGCAATATTCTTTCAAACAGCATCAGCCATTCATAAAGTTACTTAGCATAACCGGCTGTGTCTTGTTTAAAGGCAGCCCTGCAGACAGATACATACTGGAGTTATAAAGTAATGTAGACCTAATAAAGTAAAGAAGTGAGATTACTGTGCCCAGGATGTAATGAGCAAAATAATCCCACTGACGTTTGAGAGAAGTAATTAGTTATTTGTTGTGTTTTTTGAGTTACTAAGCCAACACAAAGTTCATCATGTCCTGTGCCTCACACTTCACTGGCTGAAACAGCTCTCTCTCCTTTCTTCAAATGTCAAACCTCTTTCTCTCTCTCTCCTCCTTCCTTGTAAGCTTACCCATAACGGGATGCTGGCTCTTGCATTGGAAAGTAGAGGAACACACCAGGGACACAGTTATGCTCAGAACTCAATAAGACCTTCCCAGATGCTGTCTGTCACAAAACATCAAACAAGCTACATCTGGAACATCTTGCCCTTCTCTCCCTCTCTGTGTCTCTCTCTCTAGATCTAGGCTGAAAGGCTCTCCATGGTAACAGAGGAAAGAGGCTAGAGTTGTAGCTGCGGTTGATGTGCTCCACATGGGTGAGATGAGTCAACAGCCCCCCGAGACAAGACCCCTGCCAGACATCACAATCTGTGGAGCCACTGTGTGCCCAATCTTTTTCTCTTTCTATCTCTATCTGTCTTTCTCTATATGACTGGGAAATGTGATCAAACACAGCTGTTTCAGTTTTGGACAGTTCCCTTTTTTATGTCTAATGTTTATCACAAAAGTAGATGTGGACGATTTAGCAAGCAGACACGCTCAATTACAGAGCAAATTGTTCTCGGGATCCAAGGGCTTTGAAAGAAAATCATTGCTGGGTGTTTCATCTGTAGTTAGGCAGAATCACCCCAAGGGTGTTCCGGCCACTGAAACAAGCGCTCAGAGCTTCCTTCTCAAGCCAAACAGTGTGCTTTAGTTAATCATGGGCCATTAACAAATCCAAATATTCAATGCTTCATCTTTGTCAAACACATACAATGAATATTACCACAGGTGAGTTCTCCATTTTAGTTAAAATGGACGCTGCCAAATACTGGCACCAACATATGGTACAGTAGCGATAACACTACTTTAGTGTTCTGTAATCTACTCTGCATTAAGATTATATAGAACCTGGATGCAGAACAGCATGAATAATTACATTATAATACTGCATTGTGGAACACTACTCATGGGAGCATCAGGGCTAGACAAACATATATTACTGTGATACAGCATTGCAGAACTTTATGAATTATTCATATAAAATAAACTGCGCAAAAATCTATATAACTAGGTAACAAAGGACGAATATGTCAGAATACATTTAAGAATACTCTGTATGCAGGATTTGTTGTAAAGCAGTATATACAGGACTGGACACTGCCTATTGCCCAGTTCCCATTGCACCGTGTTCCTGGAGGAACGTAATTTCACTCCACTGTGTACTTGTACATAGATGGAATGACAATAAAAGCCTCTTGACTTGATTTGACTTGAAGAACATATAAAATAACACATTTTCAGTGCCTTCACACTGTCCACCCCCCACACATTTATATTACACGTGGTGGAATAAAAATTAACCGGAATAAAAGTGTGGAGGTGCTGTGTCCCTTCACTCTGTTCTCCTCCTACATGGCCTGCTGTTAGTGTATGTGTCTGTGTGTGTATGTGTTTTGTATATGTGTGTGTGTGTGAGGGTGGACAACATGGACAGGCTGCTGACTGGCTACAGCTGCAAAAGGAGAACCCTACGCTGGCCACTTGTGATATTTTAAACATCTGGTATTTTTGTTTTTATATAAATTGTTATGGCTGTATTGATTAAACAATAATGTGGTGGGTCCACCAGACCACTGAGTAACAAACACATCAACACCACACAAGAGTTAAATACCATAAGCTGTTAAATAAGCTGGCGCTACACTCAAAGGCTGCACTAA